GTCTGTCTGGAGTCAGCTGTAGGGAATCTATTTGAGGTGGTTGTATCAAGTTCAGGTCTGTTCCATGTGTCTCATTCTGGGGCCCAGACTGACAGCAAAGAGCCAGCAGGAGCATGTTCTTCTTTTGTTGGGGGAGGGACAAGAGGAAACATGCCTTTTAAAAAGTTATGCTTGGAAACTTGAAATCATAAAAATAAATAAATGAAATAAAACCAGGGTTACTTGTCTGATAGAGACTGGTGAAACCCCCGAGACCATGGCCCCTAGTTGCTCTTTGGGACTAGAATTAAACTTACTCCTGTGAGTCCCAGCTGAACAATAGACAGCCCTATGAACTCTGGTGGTGCACTACCTAAGGCATAGTACTGGTAACCAGAAGGTTGGTAGTTTAAACCCACCAGCAGCTCTGCAGAAGGAACATAAGACAATCTACTTCCATAAAGATTTACTGCCTCAGAAACTGAATGAGGGTCACTATGAGTCAGAATCAATTCAATGGCAGTGAGTTTGGTTTGGTTTGGTACAAGGTGAACAATTACACCAGGGAGGTCCACTCCTTAGATCAATCAATCATAGAGATCAGAAGGGCAACATTTACATAAGCAGAAAGCTCAGAAGGTAGGAATGCATAGGAAGGAACCAAAAAATCAAACTCAGGGACAGAAGGAATTATAACTATAGGGAGGAAGTGGGAAAAGAGCTGTTATGTTGTGGGTTTTGCAATCAGTGTCACAAAAGAAACTATATATTAACTGTTGAATGGAGAAGGAATTTGTTCTGTAAACTTTTGTCCAAATCACAGTAGAAAGTGAAAACAAACAAACTATGCTTGGAAGTGACTCATTGTCAATTCCACTGGCCAACAAAAGACAGAAGGCCAGGCTCAGTATTAATGGATCAAGGGATGGGTGGTATACTTCCGGCTGAAAGTGGTGGTTGGGGGAGTGCATATTTATTGGACAGTAATCTAATCTTCAAAGTACAGCATTGCTATATTTCAATTTTTAATTGACCATTTGGATCACTCTATTTCACTATACCAATGCCTTTTTTTTTTTTGACAATGGTTTCCTTGTTGTTGTTTTTATGTGCCATCGAGTCGGCCCCGACTCATAGTGACCTCTCCTTGGGTTTCCGAGGCAGTATCACTACGGAAGTAGTATTGCCCAACCTTCCTTCCGAGGAGTGGCTGTTGGGTTTGAACCAGCAGCCTTCTGGTTAGCAGTCATGTGCCTTAGGCACTATGCTACCAGAGCTCCTATGGTTTCCTTAGCCTATAAAAAAATCTATATATCTTTACCATTATACTAACAATCAATCCCCTACTTTCTCTTATCAGAATAGTTTTTTTTTTTTTGTAAATCTGGGTTAAGCTTTCAATGATGGCAAAATTTTTACAATATGCTATGTTTTACATATGAGAAAGAAATAAGAAAGGAGGGGACCTGTTTGCTCAGTGCTTAAAGTGTTCTGCTGCCAGTCAAATTGCTGCTGCAGTTAAAACCCACCAGCCGCTCCTCAGAAGAAGATGTAGCTGTTGATTTGTATAACGATTTACACCCTTGGAAAGCTTGTGGAGCAGTTGTACTCTGTTCTGTTGGGTTGCTATGAGTTGGAATTGACTCAATGGCAGTGGGTTGGGTTTGGTTTTGGTATAGAGGAAAATAACGTGCATAATATTCATGTCTGAATAAAACTGAGTATTTATTAAGGCTGGGAAAAAATTGCTTGGTCAATCTTCAGATTAATGAGACTTTTAAATTCTTTTAGGTTTCTGCTGAACCTGATGGAGCTACTTACGTATTTCAAGGATTTATTCAGGGCAAGGATTACGGGCAATTTGGATTACAAAGACTAGGTAATGTATTCATTTTGATTTTTATATAGTTTCCCTATTACCTTAGACAACATATGGAAGTACAGTGGGTTTTGTACATTAAGTACACTTATTCCATTTTGTATTCTGCATTGTCAGGGCTATACATTGATACACTGATAACTTTTTAATCACATTCTTCAAAATTTGTTCTCTATATACTAACTCTGTACAATGTTTGGTTTTTCTTCATATTTCTAATAAATGTGACAAACTCACTCGCCCTTAAGCAAGGGAAAAGTGGAAAAAGTGATATAGATATAAAAGAAAATATTAAACTGTAAATCATTTGATCTTATCTCATGAGAACTGTAACACTTCTCAGTTTGAATATTGTTGCAGTTTTCTTACTGCTCCAACTATGTAGCAATGCTTTGAAAAACTCATAGGGTCTAGCAAGGGAAAATAACTTTAAATAATGGGCCCCTTTTTGGAACTTTGTTCTCTTCAGAAATGTAAATTTTCTCTGGTGAGAGGTACTGGGTTTTGTCATTTTTACTTCCAAATATTCTAACATGTGCAAAAGCATTTAATGGTCTTGATTGAATGGATTTATTAACTTAGCTTTTGTTGTACAATCTTCCTAATTTATACTGTCTACATTTTTACATTGTGACCTTGGTATATAAAGAGTAAATTCAGATCCAAATCCTGTATATGACACTTACCTCAAAATTTCCTTACTTTGGAATTTTACATAAATATGCTGTGTCACTAGAAAAATGAGGGATAGAATTAAGCCCTAACATTTTTGTTTACAGTTAAGGAGGGCTTTATTGTTGTTGTTATGTGCCATGGAGTCGGCAGACTCATAGTGACCCCTCCTTGGGTTTCTGAGGCAGTATCCCTATGGAAGTAGATTGCCCCATTTTCCTTCCAAGGAGTGGCTGTTAGGTTTGAACCACCAGCCTTCTGGTTAGCAGTCAAATGCCTTAGGCACTATGCTACCAGAGCTTCTAAGGAGGGCTTTAGTTAAATATAACTATTTGTCAAAAGGGAAAGCAGTTTTCTCTAAATTAATAATAATAAATAAATAATAAAATGTAATTTCATATAATGTATCCCTAAAACTGTTAGCTTTTAAATCAGGATAGGCTTTCATTTACACATTACATTAACACAGTTGTGTAATATGGTGTAGAATGTTTTCAAGTAATATTCCCAAAGCACTTCACACTACATTGCTAAAACAAAACATACCAAAAAAAAAAAAAAAAAGTGTTTTTTTTTAAAAGGACTACTATCTTTGTGCTAACTCATTGATAAACCTAGCTTTTTTTCCCTCATTTCCTAACTCTGCTAATACCTTCCATAACCATTTATTCAGTCTAAAACAGAACACTTTTAATCTGATGCTTTCCTATCTCTTTTATAAACCACACAT